CACAAAGATAAGACAAAAGTGATTTTCTTTTATCTATTGCTGACTTTTAACCTGTTCTAGGTAGAGAATTCTTGTTTAACCCAACAAGAGCTCAGAGATGCAGATGTCTGACTAAGCATTAAAAATATTAATATATACAATATCTATACCATCTTTTGATATCCTCATTAACATATTATATACATTATTTTTTTCAAACCAAAGTTCTCTGTGTAGCTCAGAGGGACCTCAGACTTCCAATGTAGCCCAGGCTGCACTTGAATCTAAACTGACTTGGCCTCATGGCTCCCTTTTTTTAAAAGATAGGGTCTCACATAGCCTAGGCTAGCCTATGTAACTGAGGATAATCTTGAACTTCTGATTTTCCTGTCTTCACCTCTCAAGCCCTAGGGTTACAGGTGTGTACCACCACCCCATTTTATGTGGTTCCAGGGACTCAAACTCGGGGCTTTATGAATATTAGACAAGCTCTCTACATGGTGCATTATTTCCTTCAATTAAATGATTTCTTTAAAAGATTACTCTTTTTAAATGTTGGTTTCTTTATTTTTTTACTGTTTCTTACAAAACACATTTTAGATGCATGTCATATAGTTTCTGTGTTGTAGAAGGGGAGCCTGAATTCTGTGTGATAAAACTTCCAAAATGAGGGATGCTTACTTACACTTGCATTTAATACGAAAGACACCACATACAGTTTGAAGCTTTGCAAACGAGGAAGCCGTGCAGTGGGGGAGAGTCGGCTGCTTGAGATTGCAGGAGCTCTGTAAGAGGCAGAGGGGAGCCAATCTTCTCTGCCTCTACCATGTTGCCATGGGCTTCTATTCATCAGCGTGGCATTCCTGTGTATTCTGCTTTGCAAGACTGGAAATTCCCTGAGAACGTTCCCAGAAAGCTGCCTGCCGTTTGAAGGGAAAGAAAACTGAAACTCTGTGTGAGCACCACATGTGGGAAATAGACCCAGGAAAGCAAATGACGCATGGCCCTGTCTAAGTGGTAGCATTTTCGAAAGCTATAGCAATGCTCTCTCTTAGGCGTGGGTGTATGCATTGTTGTCTCTTGTGTTAGATTGTCCTGATCTGTAATCAACAAAAAAAGTATCTTTTGACTTGTAATACTTACTTAGCATTGCTTGAGACAGTGGGATTTCTACCGAAGAATCTGTATATTCCCTGCCCTTTCAGAGCTTTCCATCGAGGACAAAGAATAAAATCAACATATTTAAGGCACAAGGCAAAGCAAGATGGTACTTAATTGCTCTAAGTGCTAACTTATAATGTACAAGCTATTAACACCATACAATTGATTGGAGAAGGATACATGAAGTTCAGGACTTGCTCCAAGAAGTCTGATAATCTATTTCCTGTTTCAGAGGGATGCATGGGAGTTCTTTTCACAACCAGCAGGTAAACTGAACACATTAGTTTTATTCACTTTGTTTATTTTACAATTCACATTACAAATCTTAAGAGGAGATGAATAAGACCTACAACAATTTGGGGAAAAAAACCCGTGGAGAAAATAGAATTATTGTTGCTACTAAAGTTGGCAAAAAGAACAGATCAGTGTAAACACAGTGGGTGAATAGGGGTGCAGAGAGGGTGGGTGCTGGCCAGAATGGACTGGGAGTTTTGTGGGAAAGTCCAAGACCCAAACCAAAGTTGAACAATTTGAGAGTGGGAGAGAGGAGTTAGAAGGCTGAGTGACTTTGGATAGAGGCAAACGAAGAAACTTGATGGATAGTTGAAGATATCAACATGTCATAGATTTTCAATTTGGTTCCAGGTGGATGACAGTGGAGCTGAAGGAAGAGGGCTGCAGCTGTGGTATCCTTGTAGGGGAAAATGGGAAGCTGGAGTGATAAAGAGAAGCAGAAACTGAATCACCAAGTGATAAGGGCCTCCTCTCACTACTGCTGGAGAGGCGTGGATGAGAAACACTACAGAGAAGAAAATGCCCACCACTGGCTAGACAGCAAGATGAAGGAATGGACAGGAACAATGAGCTCCATGCTCTATAGTGCCCGGGAGATCGTGTTGCCGGGACAGCACAGAGGTGGCGAACTCGACCTGGACCAGGTAATTTGATCGTTCCCAGGTAGAGCCGACATGACAACGAAACTGGGCAATAGAAACATGTTAACGCTGCAAAGTTGCATAGAAACATTCTTGTAGGCAAATTGCTAAACAGTCTTATTAAATAAAAAAACACGGAGCCAGATATAGGGGTGAAAACCTGAGAGATCAGGGAAATAGGGAAAGCCACAGCTAACCACACCTCACCAATTCCGCAGCTTCCAAAAAGACCTACTCGTGTCTGCCCACGCCTATATGACTTTCTGTTCTGTTCTCTCATTCACTCTCTCAGCCCAGCACATCACTTCCTCTTCCTGCCCAGCTCTGTCACTTGCTGTCTGTCTGTACAGACCTCCAGACCTCTATGGTTGGTGCTGGGATTAAAGGCGTGTGTCACCATGCCTGGATCTATTCCCCAGTGTGGCCTTGAACTCACAGAGATCCAGACAGATTCCTGCCAAATGATAGGATTAAAGGCATGTGCTACCATTGCCTGACTTCTGTTTAATATAATGGCTGGCTTTTTCCTCTGATCTCCAGGCAAGCTTTATTTATTAGAGCACAAATAAAATATCACCACACATTCTGATGAGCATATTTAAATGTAAAATATCCCAGCCATAAGTGAAGCTCCATACCATATCACATTAAGTACCTATATTAAGTGCCTATATAGTAACACTACCTTTTGGTGGAATGGAGGACAAGAAAATCAAGACCATTTCTGTCCCCTGGAAGTTGTCACCAAACTCACCATTATTCTCGTCCCTTTCTATTTCAGAATGGTCTGTGCTCTATCCATGCTTGAATTAAAAAAGAACAACTGTGTGTTTTACTGGGTGGTAGAGAGGGAAATTTTTTCCTTCTGATTGGTGGTGATTTTAGGTGAGATGAACCATCATAGTAATATTTAAAATAAATTTGGTTCTATGTCTTTTAAAAATTGTGAAGAATAAATAAGACCATAGAAATGAAATTTATAAAAGTCCAAGGGACAGATAGAACCAAGGAGGCAGATTTTTAATTCAATACAAAAAGCACTTTCTAAAAATATGAACTACCCATAAATGGAAAAAGCTAAGTATATTCCCTCTTCTGGAAATATTGTGGCAGTAGCTCATCTCTGCAGAGATGCTATATATAGAATTCTTACTTGGGGCTTAGGACTCAGAGACCTCCATAGCAACTTTTCTATTATCTTCCTCGAGTGTACCACGGGTAAGCAGAAAGCTTGTTAAGACTACTAATCATGTCCACTTACTCATGCAAGCAGGGGTTTGGGGTTTTTAATTAGACATTGGGGACGTAACAGTGTACAGCCTGACCCAATCTGCATGACTTGGCAGATAGTAAGGGATGCCGGTAGTAAAGGGCTAAACACTGTCCTAGAAGTAAATACATGGCATGTAGCTCAACCTTCTGGAGCCAAAGAAGACTTTAGGGAATAGGTGACGTATAATCTAAAATATCAACTGTTATACTGAATCTGATTGATGAAGACAGAGAAACTTCAGTCACTGTAGTCTGTTTACATGTTCAGTGCTTACCATCTGAACACAAGTCTACTGACAGAATATAAAGTTTAGGAAGAGGTCTTTCTATATGACCAAATGAACTACATTCTCAAGAGTGTATTTCTGTTTTCTAGAAAAATCTAGGTCTACTTGCAATTAAATATTCTTTAAAAAAAATTAAGTGCAAACCAAATCTTTACACATGAGATAATGTTGTGAGGTATTCATGTCTTTCTCCCATATAACCTTGACATTGAATCTTCCCTCTCCAAGGATGCTAGATCAAACTGGATTGTTCCATTGCCATAAGCAGAGGCACAAGAGGGAAGCAGAGTCATAGCAAAGCTAGAAAGTATCAGCATCCAACTCAAGTAATACAAAGATTGAATTGAGTATTTGCTGATAAAATTTCCCTCCTGGGAAGCAAGATTCTAAAGACGCTACTGAAAACCTCTATCAAGTGTTACCTGTTCCAAAGCCGACTTTCCTCATGCCATTCTTTCAATTGTTTGCAATGGCCCCCTCCCATTGTAGTTCTCCCAGGTTGATGAAAAAGCAATAGGACCCTCAGAAAGGGTCAGGGTTTTAAAAATAAACTAAAAATAGCCTGTCGTGTAAATTTGAGTTATAAGTATACATGTAAGAATTAAAATAAAAAAACAAGAAAAGACTCAATAATTTGAAACTAGCAGTGTACAAAATGACAAGGATGCACTGTGATCAAGTAGGATCACTTCAGGAATGCAAAGCCAGGCTGGAGAGATGGCTCAGTCATTGAAGGCTAGGCTCACAACCACAACTATAAGAATGCAAAGTCTAAAACACTTCTAGAATGCTATTAATCAAGAGGAAAGATTAAAGGAAGTAAGTCTTATAATTTTTTCTTGGAAACTTGATATTATTCCAGAGAATATTTGTTAAGAAGAAACTCAAAATTCCTAAGTTTACAATAAGGTTTACTCAGAAAACATATTTTCTTTAAGAGACAAAAATTTGAAGACTGTCAACCTTCACTTTGAGGGTTAGATTTTAGTCAGTTTTTTTTTTTTTGTAAGTTATCATTGGTAACTATGTGAACAAATGAACAGCAAATTTATAGGTATCGAGGCCACCTTAGTTTCTAATGAAGGCAAAACAAAACCCCCCAAACAAACCGATGTTCTGAGGCCAGCCGCCTGCTGTTTCTCCCTTCAGCTGTCTTTACTTCCATCTGTCTCTCTGCTCAGGCCAAAACCACAGGAGTCAAAACAGGATCTGGTAGAAAATACTCCTAATTCCAGTACTTAGGAGGATCATCACAAGTTCAAGACCAGCCTGGGCTGCGTAGTCAAATTAAGATCAAATCAGCCTGGGCTACAAGACTTATCTTAAAAAAAAAAAAAAAAAAAAAAAGTAGGAGTCCACACACAGCCAACAAGTCCCACACAGTTTATCAGCTACCTCCAAAGCTACCTGAAGTAACTGCTTCTCACAGCCTCCCCCACTATCCCCCTGCCCCAAACCACGATCATCTCTCTTTAGAGTCCTAGATGCCAGGAGCACTCACGTCGCACTAGTTGTGAAAATCAGAATCTCTCCAAACATTGCCAAATGCCTTCTGTGAAATCAGGAGGCACAAAGTCACCCCAGGTCTGCATGGTTATCGTCCATCACTTTACTAGTCTTCTTGTTCCATTTTTACCCTTCTATAATCTGCACCTCATACGGTAGCCAGAATAATCTTACAGCAGTGTGCAAGAACCCTGAGAGGCCGGAAGTAGCCAAGTACAGTGATTAGATTTGTCTCTTGGGAGAAAAAACTTGTGTGGTAATGAGATGCATAGATGTGCAGTCAAGAATAGCAGAAAATTGGAGAAATCAAAAACCATAAAGCTTTGGGGTTTGACTGAATGTTTCTGGTCCTGGCTCTGTCTTTTAAACACCCCGAGGCCGCCTTAAACAAGCTCTTACCCTTCTTGAGTTTCAGTTTCTGTATTTGTGTGACAGGCATCATTATTCTTACCCCTGGGATGACGGGAAGATTAAATAAGACAACATGTTAAACCGCTGCCTTGTGCCTGACACACTGTAAGCAAGGAGTGATTGGCAGCTATTAAAACGTCTGAGGTAGTAATTGCGATGTTAGGGACAAACAAGCTTGGGAAAAACTGAGCATTTTATGTTTGGGGATAAGGGAGAAGAAAAGCACAGCACTTGGAGTCTTGACACTGGCAGCCTTGTAGACAAAACAAAGCAGACGCTGTGAACTTTCTGAAGAAGGAGAGAGCGGGCGGTCTCTACTGCAGAAGGAAAGTCCCTCCGCTTCCATCTTTCGTAGTTCCTGTTCCCCACCGTCCCACCTTCCTTCCATCTCACAGTTCGAAACTTGGTGTCCATAGATCTCCTCAAGTGCCACATAAATCAAATTTAAGGCTGTGTTTAGACGGAAACACTACAACTTCAATTTCACCACACTAAAATCTAGTGTTTTCACCGACTGTCCGTTTGGGGACAAAAGAAAACTACAGACCCTAACAGTACCCTACGATATCAAAAATGCATTTTGGCATTGGTGAGATGGCTTTGCAGGTTAAGGCTCTCGTCACAGCCTGGTACCTGAATTGGATCCCCAGGACCTACATGGTTGAAGGATAGAACCCACTCTCCCAAATGGACATGGTCGTCGTGATATATGCAAGCCCCTCAAATAATAATAATTTTAAAACTACATATACATTTTATATTATTTTTGAAGTTGCCCCAAATTTCTCCAAATATCACTTTTAGAAATTATAGTATTCTGTGTATTTTTCACGTAAACATTATTTAAGGAACCCCTAGACATCTCCAAATGTATTTGGCAGGAACAGGTTAAGACTTCCTGCTAGGTCGTTACATAAGTCATGCATCTTTTTCACTCTATTAATTTGTTGCTGTTTGTTACTGTGTATTGCTGCCCTTACTCCTATCCATAAGCCTCAGCCATCCAAGGAAAACAGCCTCCAAGGAACACAGCCACATGACTTCAAATGTTTGTCAATTGTTCTGATCACTCTTTGGACCTTTTACTTTCCATTCAGTCTTAAGACATAAGATTGAGTCAAGTATACTGTTCACTCACTTTTCCACCGTCAACAAACATTATTGAGCAGAGGGTATCGTGCTACATGGCTTGCTGTTTAGTACGAAAGGTAGCAGCAATGTATCACTTGAGTGTTGTAGTCAGAAAGGGAGACTTGTAGGGAAGTTACCAGACAACCTGGGAGTTACTTTGCTCAGGATGAAATTTTATGGCGTGTGAATTCCCAGAGATTTGTCAGGAGGTGACATTGAGAAGAAAGGAAATTCCATTAGAGGACTGAGTTTGCCGAGATTGGGTAAGTAACGTTTGTAAAGCTGTTCCTGCATTTTCTAACAATCTTTGAAACATTAAACAGAGTGAAGCACATTTTGTCCTTGGATCGAGGAACAAGTGGACTATTTAGGATATTTTCATTCCTTCAGTCATTGGTCTAGAGTCACGATGTTGATGATCACTGTAGATACAAATAATAGGCAAACATTCACTTTAAAAGCAGTTTGCGATGTGTTGCTGGTTTTTCCTAAATGAATGCATGACACCTGCTGGTTGACTGTGGAATTTTACTTAGCTTATTGAAGTGAAGAAGTTTGTGAATTTTCCATACAGTGAAATACATCAATTGCCAATGTACAATTCTATGTACATAACCACCATCACAGTCAGGATTTAGAACAGTCCTACCAACTCCCAGAGCTTCCCTGCACCCTTTTGTAGCCCATTTCATCCTCAGGACCAGGGGAGCACTGGTCTGCTTTCTGTTCCCCTAGCTTGACATTTTCAAACTGCCATGCGCATGGAATCGTATGGTATGGAGCCTTTTGTGTCTGCCTTCTTTCCTTTAACTTAAGGCTTTGCAGATTCAGCCTTGCTGTTGCAAATATCAGTAGTTTGCTCTTTTTCATTCTAAGTAAACTTTACAAAATGAGTCAATCACAATGTGTTTATCCTTTAATAGATGGTAGAAATTTGGACTGTTTTCAGTTCTCTCTCTGTCTCTCTGTCTCTGTCTCTGTCTCTGTCTCTCTCTCTCTCTGTAAATGTGTGTGCATACACTTTTAAACTTGACATGCAATATTTATGAAGCACAGCGTGACATTGCCATACATTTAAACAAAGTGTCATGATTAGAGTATGACAATTGGTCTAACTATTATTTCTGGCATTAACCATCTCCTTGTATTGAAAGCATTCAAGATTCTTTCTACTAGCTATTTGGAAAGATGCAATTAGCTGTTTTCCACCACAGTTCTCCTACTGGGCCATAGAACACTAGAAATTATTCAGCCTACCCAACAGAACCCCTGTACCAGCTCTCTATTCTTTCCCCCAAACCCTCTCAGTCTCTGGTAACCACTGCTCCTATTCTACACAAAGTCAGTTTTTAGCACACATACATGCAAAGGAGAGCATGAGATATCTGTCATTCTGTGCCTGATGTTTTTATTCAACACAATGTTCTCTTGGTCCACCCATGTTGCTGCAAATTATGGGTTTCATTCTTTTTGTGGCTAACTAGTATTCCAGCATGAATAATAACATTTTCTTTACCCATTCATCTACTGATGGACACTTGGGTTGATTCCACATCTTCACTATTCTTGGCAGAACAGTATTGTAACAACCAAGGGAAGGCAGGTGTCTCTTCAATACACTGATCTAATGTCTTTTAGTTATCTACCCAGTGGTAGGAGAACTGTGCCCTGTGGGAGTTCCATTTCTAGCTTGTTTGAAGGAAACTATTCCGTGATCCACATATCAACCACATTCCTACTAAAGTACCAAGAGCTTCACTCTTGCCTCCTCCTCACAAATAAGTGTGTGTGTGTGTGTGTGTGTGTGTGTGTGTGTGTGTGTGTGTGTGTGTGTTATTATAACAAGCCCTTCATTATTTAATTGTTTTAACTGGGGTGAGAGGATATCTCATTACGGCTTTGATCTCTTAGTGATGCTTAAAATTTTTCATACATTCACTAGTCATTGGGTATCTCCTTTTTGCAAAATGCCTATCAGGTCATTTGCCCTGCTGAAAACTGCATTGTTTGGTCTTTTGCTGTTGAGTGCCTGAGTTTCTCGCACTATCTGAACACTAATCCTACCTAGTAAACCGTTTGCAGCCCTCATCCACTTGTATCATTACTCCATGGTAAAAAGAGAGAAAAGGATTGCTTTCTCTGTTGTGCAGAAGCGTTTTAGCTCAGTAAAATCCCACCTGACAGTCTTTGCATTGGCTGCCTGTATTTTTTTTTGGAAATGTATTTTTTGAAGTATATGTATGTTTCATATATGTAGGAGATCTCCTTCAGTCTATGTCTGAGTCTATAAAGGTGTGTCAATTTTTTTTTTTTTTTTTGAGACAAGGTCTCACCGTGTAGCCTTAGCTGGTCTGAAACTCACTCTGTAGACCAGGCTGACTCAGAGTCATTAAAGGCATTGTGCCACCACACCCAGTTAAAACATAATGTCTTGGTTTTGTTGATACTCATTTTTTAGCTTCAATGTCATCCATTTACTGTGATATTATTCCATTGCTTCTCTGAGTTTTGGACTTGATTTCCTCCTTGCTTTAGTCATGTTGCTAGCTTGCTCGATGTTGCTAGCTTGCTCGTTTGAAATCTTTTTACTTTGTATTCAGGGTGATCTTGAACTTCTCATCCTATTTCCCCACCTTCTAAGCACTGCACCACACTGCCCACTGTATGTGATGCTGGAGGTTGAATCTAGGGTATTTCACATGCCAGGCAAGCACTCTGTCAACTGAGTAGAGTGTCAACATCTGCAGCCCCAGAAGAGGCAGTTATCATACACGTCCCTCTTAGTGCCACTCTAGCTCGTGTGGCTTTGGGGATGATGTGCTTCCATTTTAACTTGATTCTAGAACATTTTTAACCCCCCTGTGCTGTGGGATGTTCTGTATGGCAAATGTGTTGCTGATTAGTCAATAAATAAAACACTGATTGGCCATTTGCTAGGCAGGAAGTGTAGGCGGGACAAGGAGGAGAATAAAGCTGGGAAATGGAAGGCTAAGTCAGAGAGACACTGCCAGCCGCCATGATGACAAACAGCATGTGAAGATGCCGGTAAGCCATGAGCCATGTGGCAAGGTATAGATTAATGGAAATGGATTAATTTAAGCTGTAAGAACAGTTAGCAAGAAGCCTGCCACAGCCATACAGTTTGTAACTAATATAAGTCTCTGTGTTTACTTGGTGGGGTTTGAGCAGCTGTGGGACTGGCAGGTGAGAGAGATTTGTCCTGACTGTGGGCCAGGCAGGAAAACTCTAGCTACACCCCTGTCAACTTCTTTTTAAAAATTCTTTTGTTTCTTGAGATTTTCACATGATTACATCATTTTCCCCCTTCCCCCACATAGTGTTTGTCAGAAGCTTTGGATTCCTTCAGGGGGTTGCGCTTCTTTGCTGTCCATGTTCCTCGGCCACTCCAGCTGGAAGAGAATTCTTCATTGGTGCAGATCCTTTCTGGGGGGACAGTGAGTGACAGCCTGCTCCACTCTGTCTTGCTGATTTTGTATCTGCTTCTGGCTCTTGATGATTATAAACAAGGTTTTGATGGACATTTGTGTTTTTGTGTGGATACATATCTCTATCTGCTTGGTAAATACTTAGGCCTTGGGTACTATTAAAGATGGATATACATTTGACTTTATAAGAAGCAATGTCTTTTCAAAGGTAATTTTATACACATTTCTTATGGTAAATGCATGTTTAATTTTTTGTAGTTCTCTTTATTTAGTTTATTATTTTTGAGACAAAGCTCTTACTATGTGACACTCTGGCCTGCAACTCACTATGTGCCCCCGACTGTCCTTGTGACAATTCTCCTACCTTTACCTCTTGAGTGCTGCGATTACAGATGTGCACTGCCACACCTGGATGCACGATTCACTTTATAAGAAACATTGACTTTTGCTTTTCAAAAGTAATTTTATCCCTCATATACCTAATTTTATCCCTGCTCTAGTGTACTTCTGTATTTCATATCATTGTTATAGAAATTCTTTGGACAAATTCATCTTTAATTTCACTTGAGACTAACAAGAGAGGTTTTCTTAAGATTGTCATGAGTTAGCACTTAAAAAGAAATGAGTTGCTGCATAAAGGGAAGAGTACAGCCTTGAAGGCAGTAGTGTGATTGCCGCACAAACTTTACTTGATAGACACATTCCCTCTATGAACATCTGTTGCTGTACCCTCATCCTGTGGATGGTACAAGTATCTACATTGCAGGCTTGTAGCAGGAAGGGTAAGTGTAGACTGCGGCCAGCATGTAAGAGGTGATACTCCAGCTGTTAAAATTTAAAACTTTTGCTATGGTACGGCACGGAGTTCATGAGGCCCCACCTCTAGCTGGGAGGCTATTGCTAATTACTGGCTGCTTGGGGAAGGAGAGTCATTTTCTTCAGTGGTGTAGCTGCTCGCAAGGGTCTCACGATCCAGTCAATAACCCTCGAACCACACACATGCAAGCAGTTCTAATTAAACTCAGTGGGTCATTTTAGCAAAAGGCCTGGAAGTAGGAGGTGAAGAAAAGGGTTCCAGAGAGAGTAGGAGAGGGGAGGAGACGGGGGCGGGGAGATGCGAGGGGCGATCATTATCAAAATACATTGGAGACATGTATGAAGTTGTCAGTTAATGAGTGAACATTTATTTGGAAAACTAAAACTTTGGCTAAAAGCGAAAGGCTGTGTTCTAAAAGCAAGTGATAGCACATGATTTCTGTTTCTTATTATTTGCTAGAAAAGTGTTTTTTTAGAAGACTTATACTTGCCAGATATAAATGAATTTTTGTTCCTACTCTTTGGGATGTATGAATTTCAAAACAGTATGGTATTCTGAAACTTCATCACTCAGAATTCTAAATTATGCCTTTGATTTAACTGAGAAACCTCGTTATTGCACAAATTCTGTTAATAGATGCTATAGCTTATTTAATATGATCAACCTAGGCTGGGATTCACTATAATTTAAAAACATATTTATTAATTTATCTATCTGTTTACTATGGGTGAGGGTATGCACATGTCATGGCATACAAGTATGGGTCAGTGAACAACTTTATGTAGTTGGTCTCTTTCCACTATGTGGGTTTCAGAGTTTGAACTCAGGTCATTGGGCATGCAAGGACCTTTGCCCTAACTTAATCTCTCCATAATTTCACTGAAGAAAGACCTTCTTAAGCAAAAGCAGGAACAGTGGGTTTTAACATTGCTAATATAAAGCTTTGCTGAGTTTACTGGAAGGCAGCCAAACTGGCAGAAATCTTAGTTTATTGGGCTGCACTGACACCTGCTGGTAGGAAAACCAATTTCTAAAAACTGTTTTATAAGTAGGACCTTACTTTAGTCTTCAAAACTGTATTTGCATTCTAATATTAATGTATTTGCATACATTAATGGCTGTAAATAGAAATTTTTGATTCATAGTAAGCCTGTGGCAACCCTTCGTGGGCACCTTATAAACCAGTGGTCTTCAACCTTCCTAATGCTGAGACCCTTTGATACAGTTCCTCATGTTGTGGTGACCCCCCCAACCATAAAATTATTTTTGCTGCTACTTCATAACTATAATTTTGCTACTGTTATGAATCTTAATGTAAGCATCTGTGTTTTCTGATGGTCATAGGTGACCCGTGTGAAAGGGTCTATCGACCCCCCAAAGGGGTCGCAAGCCACAGGTTTCTATAAACAGAAATGTTAAGGAGTCAGTATCCTCAAAGATAACCTTTCTGTGTCTACTTGATATCATGACATTCCATCCTCAGACACTACAGCACAGAGCAATACTTAAGTCAGAGCCCACTCTGAGACACTGCTTTGGACAGACAGGCCTAGGTCAGAGTGAGGGCACCTAGTTTCAAGAGGGGGACATTCCAGGGTAGCGTTTTCTCTTGCCAGAAAGGGAAACATGGCTGCTACTGCTTTTGTTTAAGATAGGGCTTCACATAGTCCAGGGTAGCCTTAGACTTGCCATGTAGCCAAGAATGACCTTGAATTCCTTCTGATCTTCCTGTCTCCACTTTCTGCATGCTGAGAGTGTAAGTGTGTTCCACCACATGCTAGGTGAGCAGTCTACAAACTTAACTGCATGTTCAACCCATGGCTGCTACTTTTTAAGACCAACTGATTCAACACTCTGATTTAGGGGCATCAAATTTTACAATTGGAAAGAAACTTACTAAGCATTTAGTTTGCCCCTCTCTTTCATAAATGAGGAAGGTGAGAAAAATAAATTTAAATAACTTGGATACCTGGAAGATTCTAGGGGGAAAAAAAAGCTCCCTGATGCTCCCATTCTGGAGTCCTTCACTAGATGCATATTGCTTGTGACTTAAAAAAAAATACATGCAAACATGCTTTAAAAGTTATATTTAGTTTTTTCCAACTCATTTATGCCAGCTTTCTCAAACTCAAGATGTGTTATTTGAATACACAGGGTATTATGTAACATTGCTATCTGGTGCTTCCAAAATATGCCTTTTTCCAAGTCCTTCTCAGAAAAGCAAGCTGTATTGTGTATTTCCTCAGATGTGAGAATAGAAAGAGGAGTGTGGATAAGAGGGGGGAAATCAGTCAGAAGGCTTCACCAGAGACTTCTGTGGCTTTCTGATCGGGTCTGTGCTCACAGCATCGCACGCTGGACATCTTATCAAACACAGACGCACATTTCTCCTTGTATTTTTCTCTCCAGTAGAAATCGTCACACAGGCAACATGTTAGAACACAAAGTACACGTGAGAAAGCATGCCGTGTGGACAATTAATAGCCAAATGGCCTGCAGGATGATGCCAAGCTGGCTTCTTCTCGGCTATGTCACTGTCAAATCCGCCCCGCTTATTGGTGGAGACTGAGCAACATCACCCTTACCACACCAGAGGTGAGTAGCATCTCTCCAGTTGTAACAACCAAAAATATAATCTTTCCCCAATTGCCAGATGTCCTCCGGACACACCACACACACACACACCATGCGCATGCTCGTGCAGTAGGTCCAGGTCAACATCTGGTATGAAATAAAGCTGCTTTCTTGTGATCAAACAAAAAAGAACCACTTAAAAAATCCCAATGGGGTATTTAATTTTCTCTTAGAAATAAATAAAATGCTGAGATACAAAAAGAGTTCCAAGAGTCAACTTCCGATGAGATAAATACTTCATCGAAATATCTCTTCTGGAGCCGGGCATGATGCTCAGGCCTATAATCCCAGGGATCAAGAGGCTGAGGCAGGGAGACTGTAAATTGAAGGCTAGCCCATGTAATAAACTGAATTATTTATTTAGTTATAGCCTGGACTACAATAGCAAACATGCATGTACGTGCGTGCACACACACACACACACACACACACACACACACACACACACACGCGCACACGCACACACCCCTTTGCTGCAGTGGGCTTATTCAAGTTTACTTTGGTATTTGCAGAATTTGTTCTCTCTTCATGCTGTACAGTGTAATTTTGATACAACCATACTTCTTAACTTTAAACCCCCCCCCCCTGGCTGCACTGCCCCTTTTCTGGGATGGTGTTAAAGAATCCTTCTGTTCCTGTAGCAGCACCGTCAAGTTCCTTCCCAAACAAGCACAACATGTAAAGTTTCAGGGTGGGGGTTTCATCCTCACCCTGCAGGGAAGGAAATTAAGAAGGGTCACGACCCAGCGCAAGTGTGTGTGAGAAAATAATTGGGCTTTATGTCGTGAGAGACTTTATGAAAGGAGAGAGAATGGGGGTGAATAAAAACCAGGGTGTGTGTTGGGGAGGGGATAACGAAGTTAGGAGTCTTGGGAAGACAAAGACTGTATGATAGGACAGTGAATTATGTGTCTATACAGCAACCTTGAAATAGTTCCCAGTTTCGAAAGCATCCTGAAGCTTCTACCGGCCTTCCAGCCGTCACTGGCTAGTTCCTGACCACCTTTTCAGCCTTCTCAATATCAAGTTCTGTGAAAGAGAAGTCTTTAAAATCCTGTGGCACTCAAATATTTTATGTGGAAGAAGTAGATGACAGGAGAATTGAAAGGGTGAGGTGGGGAAGGCTGATGATGGGAAACAGGTGTTCTCAGATAGGCTATTAATAGCATCACCATGGCAACACTTCTGGAGAAATCTAGCAATATGTATCAAAACCCATGAGAAGAGGGGATGAATCCCACTAGATAGATCCAGGTGTTCACTTTTGTTGGCCTTCATGTTAAGGAAGGACATGCTCAAAGATACATGCAGAAGGTAGTGTTGCTGGTCTACCCAGTGTTGTACAGTAAGAAGGGAACAAGGGAAATGGAGCACACTAACTGGTTACAAAACCATGGTTTCCTCGCACAATGAAATAACAAGGAAACAGTGGTATTAAAACATCTGTTGAGATGTGTTAGTGGGTATAGGCATTTGTCATGAAGCCTAAGAGTCTGATGCCTCTAGCCCACATGATTGAAGGAGCTAATTGACTTCTGGAAAGTTGTCCTCTGACTTTTACATCACACACACACACACACACACACACACACACACACACACACACACACACACACACTGTAAAACAAAAAAAAAATCTTTCTTGAAAATTATTCTTTTAAACCATATGCTCAGAAAGATCAATAGAAATACAAATCAAAATGTCATTTTGATTTAGTTGGTCATTTTTAATTGTTTCTCTCAAAAATACAAATATTTCTCTCTCAACACACACACATATACATATATACATATATATCAATACAGGGTCTTACTCTGTAGCAAGTCTGACCTTCACAGGAATTTTCCTGCCTCAGCCTTCTGAGTGCTGGGATTACAGATGTCAGCCACCATATCTGGATCTTTAATTTCTTTAACTGCTGTGAATATGCCAAAACTGGTAGAATAAATACGTATTGCCTTAATGTTAAGAATAAAGGCATTTGGCCATATGTGGTGGTCCATGTCTATAAAACAGCATTTGGGAGACTCAGGCAGAAGGGTCATGAGTTTGAGGCCAGCCTAGATTATAGACTAAGACTTTGTCTCCAAAAGAAACAAAGCAAAGGGGAAAAGTATTTGAAAGAAAGGAAAATAATGAAAACAAGGAACAATCCCCATGGTTCCTGTGTACTGTGACGCAGACATTGCTCTAAGGATCTCACTTGTTGGGTGTTGAGTTTTCTGACATTAACTTGAATGATCACCCTAACAGCTTCTGAAATAGGGAAGCCACTGTGCTCTACCCAGGCACACCATCTTATCCTTTAAAACCAATTCCTAATATAACCATGAGTATTAACCTAGTCTCAGTTTTCCAATTTTGAGGATATATAGTCATTATTTACGAAAAATGAAGAAAAACAATCACATTTTGATGAGGAAATAGGGGCCTGGACTGGTTAAACAACGAGTTGTCTAGCAAGGATTTGAGCCCAGAGTCTAAAGGCAAAGCCTGCAAGGTTCACACCTGAGTTACATACACTGCTTTGTGGGTGCAGTTTTGAGCCTGCGCATGTGGGGCATGAGTAAGAAGTATTCATGGAAAGATGGTTGTAGGAAGCTAGCCACAGGGCAGGGGTCTTCTTGTATAGACCAAAATGTATTCTTGTTGACTACTCTATAATATGTGGCAACATGGTATAATTTATATGCTATAATGTTGTGCTTAATTTAAAACACCAATAGGAAATCAAATACAGGAATATTTTTCCAATAGAGAACTTACTTCTGGTGAGTATATCAAGTTTTCAACTGCATTGTGAGTAGTATTTTAGAGTATGGAGAAATATGTAGGACACCACAAAAGTAGCCTGCTCAGTTATTAACACAGAATGTCTGAAGAGTTGAAGTTTATTTATTTGATAGTGGACTACAAAGAGGCAAACACATACTGCCAAATTTGGAGAAAGCAGATAACTGACATGCCTTTTAATGAGGTCAAGGTTAAAAGTATTTACATATATATGTGTATACATACATATATATATATGATTGCATGAAGACACACACATCCACTTGGTTGTTAGACAGACAGACATTGAACTGACAGCAGGAAGATCTTACAGTGGAATTTCAGCTGTCATTATTCTGCTATTTTCACACCTTTGAAAATGTGGAGGACTTATCTAAAGAGAAGAAAATTGATACACAGAAGCCTGATGGAGTATTCCTTTTCAGTAGTGGTGAACAAGGACAAACTATAAAAACAGCAGACAGGACAGACACTGGTTCCCATAACAACAGTGACAGTGAACAACTGTTGGGTACCCCACATAATGGCTCAATTCTTTTACTGAATTTTTTCACAACTATGTAATTGAAATTTTATCATGATGAATAGTGCCTTGGGACTTAAAAAAAATCCCAACAAAAATCCAGGGTTCTGGATGCAAACATTTCTGTGTAACACAGTTATTAATTATCTACAAGATAACCTATGGTTTAATAGTAAAGATCTTTGATAATAAGGTTTTTAATTTCTGCTAGCTTCTACTTAACTTCTATTCTTTCAGAAGTTCTTTTATACTATTTATTAAACACATTCTGTAAAATGTAAGAAATAATGTACATTCTCATGGTCACACACAGTGACAGATTGCAGTAACACATTGACTCCTTGTTGCATATAGGAGACATGGGCTGCACATTTTAGTGATCCATGCAGGGAAGGCTCACAGAAACACCAAGCAAACAATTAGAGACTGGTCAGCCATGAAAACTTACCCTCCCAGTCACAACAGGCTTAACAGCAAAACTACCGGCATTGACTGCTTCATCAAAACCATGCTGGGCACAGTTGTTTCTGGTTAGAAGGGCCACAAAGGACACTGGCTACCAGGAATTTTCCTGGTTCTCGACATGGGGTTCAGACTAAACTCTCCTTACATGGCTTTTCCTATATCACAGGCATTAGCTGAAGAAATATTTCAGGCTTCAAATAAAAAACCATCAACCTTCACTGAAAAGCTGGAAATGGTCTATTTGAGTCTCTGGTCCTGGAAGCAGCTTGCTGCAGGTCCTTAAGGCAAATGCCAGGGCTCAAACAAATTGGAGAGCGGTCTCGAGATGTAAACAATAAGATCAGGACCAAGGAGTTTCAACCTTGGACAGAAGCTTTTCACAAACAGGCCTGTCTGGGTAAGACGGGCTTCTTGGCTTTTGAAGTTTGTGTGTTTTACATACTGGAAGTACTGCATACGTTTCTTGTTTTGTTTTGTTTTTCTACTGTAGAGACTTGTGGACTAGATAAATGTTCATGGTGTTGCTTAAAAACCAAAAATACACAGCATGGAGAAGCCACTCAAAAACCTAGCAGTATTTTGGGTCTGTTTTTGTTTGTTTCCTGTTCACATTTTACTTTTGTGGTTGGCATATGGAAAACCAAACTGGGAAATCATAATGTTGGAGTATTTTAAGGGCATGCCATCGTAGATATTAACAAGCTTATTTATGCAGTAAGATCTCTGCAGAAAGTGCTCTGCCCGATGCCACATTCCAGAATAGCCATTGGTTTCTTTCTCCAAATTGACCATGTTTATAGGTTTCACAAATATCCCAGAAGACTTGCCAGTGTGCTTGGTGACGATGAAATTCATAGCAATATCATCGCAGTTTTGTGTCTCATCGATCAGCGCATGGACGGCCGCAGGCTGTCGCTGAAAGAGGTCAAGGTATTTGCTGTTGAAGAAGGAGGCTCCGATGAGCACCATGGAGTACTGGTCACCGTTCCCGAGCCCTGGTGACTGCAGTTCAAAACCTCCATAACTGTAGATACCGGACGAAGTAGAAACGTGTTTTCTAGGTACAAATCCTACAATCTGATCAGGAAATTGCTGAAGAGGAGGAAAAGAACAATTAAGCGTGGCAGTTCTTCAGAGAAGACATAGACAAAATGTTTATTTATCACAGAAGATGTGGTTGATTTGTCAACTTTTCTTTATTCCTTATTTCTATATTTCCCTTATTTTTACACCCTAATTTCCTCTAACTCCAGACAACCTCATAACTTTGTCTCTTGATACGTTTACAGCTTAAATTCCACCATAACCAAAATCTCTCTGAAAAATGATTACCTTACAAATATTCTTCAGATTCGAACATCTGATCTAAACAAATTTTAGTTCCCATGGAGTCTAGTCCTTCAAAGGACAATTCATTAATCAATATGCTAGGCATGAAATTAAAAACTGCAGGTTTAGAAGGCTGGTACTGGTAGGGCACTGTCACTACCCTCCATGTAGCTCTTAGGGGGGACTTACTGCAAATCTGACCATCTAGGATAGCACAGTATTTAGTCACAAGATCTACACACAGTTCTGGATTCAGGTCATTTCTAATGCAGCTTGTAACGCTCAGCTATTATCAGTGTCTGTTCATTGGGAGAGCTAGTGAGCTATTTATGCCTGCTCAGTCAAGCTGGTATCAGGAAAAACCAAGCCAAAACAAACACCTGCCACCACAATGGCACACACACAATTATTACCTCAGAATCTCTCAACACGGTCTTAACGAGGATGCAGTTTTGTCGAAGCGATAAATACTTTCTTTTATAACAAGTTTCTTACATTGTGAATACACAAATACACTTGCCATTTGAGACACAAATGGTCTGGGGAAACCTTTTCTGCATTGCAGTTTGGCTACGCCAGATCATTTCACTGTTCTTGGTAAGCTAATTCAAATTTTTCTTCCCACTACACCAAAATGTTAAGCCAATTTTCATGTTGTCTTAACTAAGCTCAGAAACTCTTGACTGCCGTATGACAGTTTCAGCTGTGTTTTAAGATACTGCCTATACTGTTTGAGTGACCTCCATGTTAAACTAAGCTACCCTGGTTAGGTATTACATAGATAAAACTTTACCCATATGGTGTCATAAAACATATAGCAACATTACCTGCCAAATTGAGAAAGCAAAAACAAGGTCCTGGGCACTAATGAGAGTGTCATCATCTACCATTAATACTGCTGCAATGGAAAGAAAAAAAAATCATTGAACAGTTTGGAAATGAATAAAAATCAATAAGATACAGTTGCGTCTATTCAGATCATTTAAAACAAGTATTTTTGAACCCAGGTAGTAAATTAAAAAGTATTCTTGAAGAGATTTGTCTAGTAGGAAAAGAAACTCCTGCCTGAGGGGGAAATATCATCACACAATTATAGTCCATCAACCCAGAGGGTAATGAACCCTTAAATAAAGCCAAGGGTCTTTTAAGAAAATCACATCCTGGAGAAACTGTTACACACAGGAAGAAGAGAGTGCCCCAAATACATTAAGCATAAATTGTGCTGGCTGGCTTTACGCCAACTTGACATAAGCTATAGTCATGTGAGAGGAGGGAGCCTCAGTTGACAAAATGCCTCTATAAAACGAGGCTATAGACAGGTCTTTAGGGCATTTTCTTAATTAGTGACTGATAGGTGAGGACCCAGCCCATTGTGGGTGGTGCTATTCCCTGGGTTGGTGGTTCCAGGTTCTATAAAAAAAGTTGTGCAAGCCATGGAGAGCAAACCAGTAAGCAGTGCCCCTTCAGGCCTCTCTGTATTAGGTCCTGCCTCCAGGTTCTTGTCCCGTCTGAATTCCTGTCCTGACTTCTTCAATGATGAACGGGGATGTGGAAGTGTAAGCCAAATAAACCCTTTCCTCCCCAAGTCACATTTGGTCATGGTGTTTTATCTCAGCAATAGTAATCCTGACTAGAACAGTCATCTTATGACTTTTTCTTAATGAATAATATACACTCTGCAAGTATTATGCCACACAGCATACCTTTTAAAAATATTTTAACATTGCCCCCTTTGTTAGCATTACAAGATGTATGTGATTTCCTCACCCAGGAAGCTGCTTGTGGGAATCTTAAGTGTTTCAAAGTGATTTTTTTTTTTTTAATGATAACTTCCCTGGAAGCCAGAAGTCCACCCCACCCACCCACCCACTCGAGCCCTTTCCGTCTCAGAACCCAGCTTTGACTCACCATTGGTTTCCAGTTCGGGGAAGACCTGGAGTCGATTTCTCATTTTGTTCGTTGTTTGTGGTTTGAAGACGACAGGGACAGGGTGAGGCCCGAGAGAATTCCATAACTCCTCCGGCCCCTTCTCGCCCACATTGTTCCATACCACGATCACTTTGTGCAGATTTGGTACTGCCTGATAATGGTTCAAGAGTCTTAGCAAGAGGTCCGTTCTGTTGTATGTCTGCATAATGAGAGTAAAAGAATCCAGGGCCGGTGTGCTCTGGGGCTTGATTTCCCGGCGCAGAGTGAGCATCTTGTCTTCTTTGATGTTGGGGAGCAAATTGGTCAAAGCTCCAGCTACGAGCAGTAACACAAGGATGACCACCAGGGAGAAACGAAGCACTCGAATCCCCATGACTCTTCCAGGAAGTTTGCAGATGTGGCAACACCTGGAATAGAGACCGGAACGCTCTTATCATGGACGTAAATTAACTTCTCCATTCTTTCATAAAGTGATTTGGCCTAACACACACAAAAAAATGTAGTCTTACATTCTTTAATCTTAAAAAAAATATTTTTGTCAATTCTTTGAGGATGCCATCCAATGTATTTTGGCCATATTCGTTTCTCATCCTCCCCACCAGCTCCTCCCAGCTCCACCACCACTTCCTCATTCCTTCCTGTCCTCTTTTTGTTTTTTTTAAATAACCCACAGAATCCAATTTGTCCCTCTTTCTCAGCCTGCTGACTACAGAGATGAGGATGTAAGCTCTCAGCTACTTCTCCTGCACCATGCCTGCCTGCCTGACTCCATGCTCCCCACCATGATAACGATGGACTAACCCTCTGAAAACTGCTATCAAGCCCCCAGTTAAATGCTTTCGTTTGTAAGAGTTGCCCTGGCCATGGTGTCTCTTTACAGCAATGCAACAGTGACTAAGGCAGGGCTCTTGTTCTTCCAAAGGACCACATCTCACAGCACAGATCACAAGATACAGCGACGTATACTGCAATCCAGCATTCAAGAGGGTGAGGAAGGGGGATTGCCAGTCTCCAGGCCAGCTTGGGCTACATAATACATACTAAGACCCTACCTCAAACGAAACAAAACAGTCTTCCAGAGCCAGCCATGGAGTAGCGGGAGTGAACACAGAACTAAAGAGAATAGCTTGGATATTCAGTAGTCAGAACGTTTTATCTAATCAACCTCTCAAATATACACATATATATATATACACACACACACACACACACACATGTGTGTGTGTGTGTGTGTGTGTGTGTGTGTGTGTGTGTGTGTGTGTAAAAAGGTTAAATCTTACTGTCCGTTTTACAGACTCAGAAATGATTTTCTGGCTCCACCCATTTCCAGGATTGCTACCTCTTGCTCTAACACTGATGGTTTTTAATTACCCCTACTTCTGATTCCAGACGATTTATTACTCCACAAACCTCCACGGAGCTTTTCAGACACGTCCTTATGCTGTACTTTGGCAACCGTGTCCTGTATCCATTTTGTCAACGTATGAATTCAGCTTGTCATAGCTGCAGCCATCTTCACATGTAACTTCCATGACTGCCCCTGAGTAGGAAGCTGGGTTTCCCTCCATAAACAGATAAAACCATGGGAGTCACTAGGCCTTACTATCAGACCCTGCTGTAAGCATGTCTTTACTGTTATCTTAAGATAAACCAGCTACAATCCAGATAAAATGGCCCCACTTGTCTCAGCCTGTAAACACACCCTTTTCTGACCCACACTTCAGGAGGTCTGGCTGGTGCTTCTGCCATTTAGTGCCACACTTCTGGGTCAATTTCCCAATACATTCCAGATCTGTCTGCCTTTCTTCCTTGGGCCTCACAGCACTTCGGGGCCAGTCCTCACACACTAGGACCTATTCTACAAGTACAAAAGCCAACACTGGGGAAAATGGATTGTCTGAAGAAATTCACCAAAGAAGAGACTAGATAAAAAAACAAAACAGCCAGGTGGTGGTGGCACACGCCTTTAATCCCAGCAGTCGTGAGGCAGAGGTAGGCAGATCTCTGTAAATTCAAGGTCAGCCTGGGCTACAGAGTGAGATCCAGGACAGGCACCAAAGCTACACAGAGAAACCCTGTCTCGAAAAAATGGAAAAAAAAATCCAAACAAACAAACAAAAAACAAAACAAACAAAGAACACTAGGCATTTCTGGTCAACATTATAAAAGTACCTTTAAGTCAACAAAACAGATTTCTCAGCATCAGAAAGAATAAGAGGGTCTGGGAAAGAAGGCAGTTCAGTGGAGGAAGTGTCTGTTATGCAAGCTTGAGGATCTGAGTACTCCTGTGATCCTTAGCACTCCTGTGAAAAGCTGGGTGTGGTAGCAAGCATGTAATCCCAGCACTGCAGAGACAGAGGCAGGTGGATTCTTGGCCAGCCAGTCGAACTTAGTGGGTAAGCACCATGTCCCAGTGAGAGACCCTGCCTCCAATAATCAAGGTGACAGGAGCCTGAGGAACATTACATCAGAAGTTGACCTCTACCCTTCCCATATCCTATATGTGTGAACACACACACACACACACACACACACACACACACACACACACACACACACCCTACATCCCTTATACACGGAGAAAGAAAGAATATGAGATTATTATTACCTGTTTATTTGTTTTGAGGCAGGGCTTGGGCTACAGCTCAGGCTGGCCTTGGATTATGTAGCACAGGCTAACTTGAAACTTGTGATAACTCGTCCCCCAGTCTCCAGAACTGTAGTGTACTATTCCCAATGACTTTGATCCATCTCTACTCCCTTTTCATTTCTACTGAAACAATCTCTCTTCCTAGATTACACACTAAACAGGCACTCTCATTTACAGATCAATATTGATTTAAAAAAATGAAGAAGCTTTTAGGACTTCTTACTGGAAACTAACCATGGCTAAGGCATAGGATCAGCACAGAGCAGGCAGTGCTCTTCTTAATACAAAACAGCCTTTACATACCACGCTCTGTTTCTTTCCACCTTCTTGGAAAGGTATGGTAATGCTTAACACAGACCACATCTAAGGTTGTCATTTCTCATCTGTGGTTGAACTCAAGACAACTGCAGCTAGGCCACTGTCCCACGAGCAATCCCTTAGACTAGTCTACGAAGTCCTTCCTTCTGCCTAGAGGACACCTTGCAGGCACATTGTGTTAAAACCATCACCCACGACCTTGCTTCACATCCTGAAGTGGGTTTTATAATGGCAGACAGGTTTCTCTAGTTCAAGGGCAGAGAAAAACCACAAAGACTAGCTTTTCCATCCTCCCTTTAAGCCTCTGAGAATGCAGAACTCAGGGCATACATACATTCCCTGCTGTGACAGTGTGCTGAGTCACCTGCAGCTTAACTTAGCTGTTTATTATCTGAGACAGGGTCTCTCTCTTCGTAGCTGAGGCTGACCCTGAATGCACAGTCCTCTGGCCTCAGTCTCCTGGGTGCTCTGATTCCAGGCATGCACTAGCGTGCCCACCCTTGGGAAGTGCTTATTCACAAGGACAAGTCACAAAACCTCTCATGTTTCCAGGCCAGACTGGAAAGGCACTATTACTTATAGAGATTTTTGGGGAGTTTTCAAGGAGACTTGGTCTTGGGACTATTTTCGGCAGGTTTTTTTTTTTTTTTTTTTCTATTAAGAAAAGCAATTTTGTGTTTCTGCCTCTATCACGGCCTCACTCTAAGACATGAATAAAATTAGTAACCTCAGCTTTCATGTAATTACTTTTCATGAACAGTAATCTAAGGCTTTGGAGCACAACGTTTTCATTCCATGTACTCTCTTATTAAAACAACACATACTACTAAGATAGTCAACCAAAGAAAAGATGCAGGAATTAATAATCTTGATTCCAAAGGCTTGAAAATCCTTTTAGCACTGAATTTAAAAGTAGGTCTCATAAAGCACATAATTCAGTTCTGCATGGTCACGTGTGTATGTGTATGTGTGTTTGTAGGCATTTTATTTTATTTAAGAAATTTTTTTATTCATTTTACATACCAACCACAGATCCCCTTCTCATCCCTCCTCTCGCTCCCCTCCAGCCTTCCCCATCCCCTATCTCCTCCTCCAAAAAGATAAGGCCTCCCTTGGGGAGTTGGCAAAGCCTGGTACATTCAGCTGAGGCTGGTCCAAGCCCCTCCCCCTGCATCAAGGCTGAGCAAGGCGTCCCACCATAGGCAATGAGCTCCAAAAAGCCAACTCATGCACCAGGGATGGATCCTGATCTCACTGCAACATTTAGGGTACAGCAAGGTTTTACCAACTGCATTAAAGGACACCAGGGTCAAGAGCTTTGTACTACTTTATGGAGTTCAGCAGAAAAGCATATTCTAAGTGTTTCTACCCACTAACTGCCCTGCAGAAATGGCATATTCTAAGTGTTTCTACCCACTAACTGTCCTGCACTCTAGTCTGGAAAAAGTAATGGAGATTAACTACCATAGATAATTGCAAACTTTTGACAATGTCAAACACACTCCGGAGCAACAGCTTCCCTTTCATTTATACTTCTAAGATGGAGCTTATTCCCTGGGCCACCGCACACGTTTTCTCTTTCAAACACCTTCTAAGCCTCTACTTTACCTGTATCAGCAAGGTTTCAGGAGCTCTGAATAATTTATGTCTTTAGAGATAGATCATCAATATTTCATTTGGCATTTATTAAATAATGCACCTCAATTAAATTATGCAAATGTCTTAATTTGCATGGAGGAGCAAGAGAGAAGGGACTTTCTAACTGCAGTACTGGGGGCACACTACTTCAGAACAGCTGAAGCGGAGCACTCTATGGCAGGCCCATCGCAAACAACCTGGATGCACCCTGGAGAACGGTTCAAGCTTTTTGGTTTTTTTTTTTTTCTAAAGACGGACCCTATCACTGACTCCACAGCTCTGAATGGAACATAAAGGAGCACACCTGCAAGAGGGGAAGAAATCAGAAGTAAACAGAGCTGGGCACCTTGCTCTTAATCACAACATTTCTCCTTCATTTTTTGTTTTGTTTTAAAATCATATCTGTGCATATTTACTGACACTCTGTCTCACTCCAAAGTGGATCTCATAGCTCCTTCCCCCCTTCTTTTGAGAGAGTCTCTCTGTATAGCCCTGGCTGGTCTGAACTCCCTGTGTAGACCAGAATAGGCTAGAATTATGAGAGCCGCCGGCCTCTGCCCCCCCTAGTGCGGGGACTATACCCAGCTCACAGCCCTCAGTCTATGTTCTCTGCCTTTCTCTCACCCCACCCCCACACTAGAGGAGAGAGAACACTGCGAATGTCACCATAACAGAGCAAAAAACAAAACAAAACAACAATAAAAAAAAAAACCCAAGGTTCTCCCAGGGATTATTTCTACTTGCACCTGGGCTCACATCTTAGTTCTGCATAGAGGTAAAGAACTAACCCTTTTGGTTATT